TATTAGTAAAACTACAGTAATTTCCTTCTCCAGGAAAACCACTACTTTGATCTTTGATTACAAACTTTTTCAGTCCTCCATAACACGTACCGACACTATTAAAGACCTGGGAATATTTTTCGACTCCAAGCTCCGATTTCACAACCATGTTGACCACATATTTTCACATTGTATTAAGTTGCTGGGTCTTGTTCGCACATTAACCTTTTCGTTCTCTTCTCTCGATTGCCTGTATATGTTATATGTAACCTTAGTTAGATCCAAGCTCGAGTACGCCTCGATCGTTTGGAATTCTATTACGACTACTGATGCCAACAAACTGGAACGTATCCAGCAGAAGTTTTCAGCCCTTTGCTACTATAGTTTCCTCCCCCAAGTGCATTACAGCTATGCTATGCTGACCGTCGTGACCCCTTTTGGGGTTCTCTTGCAAAAGTACCACGGTAGTTTCGCCTTGCCTTCCGTGACCAGTCTTTACCCACCAGACTGGAAGAGGAGAGGTGGACAAACATCTATGCCTTGAGTGGAACTCGAACCCACGGTCGCAGTGGGCAGGCACACGAGGACCAACCCATATGGGTTGTTGCTGTACAAAACAGAATTTTGCAAAAGGAACCAGCTGTTGTGTATGGGTATTATGTTGTTATTAATTGCATGCTACAATGGATATTAATTAGAACTGGTACGTGATTTAAGAGTCTTTATTATATTCATATATGTGTTAGTGGAAATGTGTGCCCAATATTGTAACTCGGCTTTTACCGATGTTTTTCACTTTTGATGCTGTTATCACTTTCCGTAAATAAGTTTGTTTTGAAGGAAACAGAGACGATGTTGATACTCTTGCCCCATAAACATCTACTGTTTTCAAACAACTGGTAAACAGCAGTCAAAGTCTGTTACTGTAAGTGAAACCAACAGAAGTTCCCAGAAAGTTACGCCCTTGCTGACAGCATCAAGAGCATCACAAGACAACTCTGATCTGTGACAAGTTTAGTCCTGATACGTTGCTCTGTTCAGTTAGAAGTCAGCCACTGCTAAAGCCATAAGCAGCAACCCTTTGTACATTTGCTGCTGTTATTGCTTCTATGAATGTGATGAAGCATTCAGTGATCATGTTACCAGAGACAACACCTATAAACACTAGGCCACGTAGGTTACCAGGAGCCCAGAAAGTAGAGACAGAGAAACAAGTAGACAAACTTTGAGAAGAAGGTATAACAAGAGATAGTAGTTCACTGTGGAAGAGTCCACTCTCGGTAGTGCCAAAGAAAGCTGACGCAAGCAGAGAAAAATGGCAGACAGTGGTAGGTTTCAGGAAATTAAATCAAAAGGCAATTGTAAATGCCTGATATAACAGAAATTTTAATGTTGTGTACTGCACATGGGAAAACCATGCTATGTGCCTTGTGTGAGTTCAACTGGTTGGTCAATAGGATTTTATGGATGACTGACTGCCGCCTGGTGGATTAATTGCAGCTAGAGAGTAAACTTGAACAAGATATTCATTACACCCATGTATCTTAGATTGGCCGATAGATACCTTCATTTGTACCAAGTACAAGAGTTGCTACTTACCGAAGCCACGGGACTTTATGCCAATACATTACCACAGAGTTCCTTTATTTTGCAATTACACTCACATAAGCAAATGCAGCAGCAAGGCATAAGCCTTGAGTCCTGCTGATTTTGTTCTTGTTTCAGCCTTCCAGCACCACTGTTTATCAGCCCTGTTTCTGGGATAAAGAGATGAAGCAATTGAATTTCTGCAACCATCTAGTCCTGTGGTTGCGACTGTCACTAGTCTGGTTCAGGGCACCAGCCAACTTCAGAAGAAGAAGAAGAAGGAGGAGGAAAATACCACTTGCGAGAGATGCTGAAGAAGTGGCTTGGGAGTACAGACTCTGAGGTATTCACTGCACTATGGTCTGTTGCTAAGGGTTAAGGTAAACATGTAGGTTAAGTTCAGGTTACTCCATAATGCTAATCCTTCTGAACACTGCACTCATACTTTTGCCCTTAGAGTCAAATAAAGAGAGATAATTTTACCTCAACTTATTTTTATTGATTACAGAATTCGGTTCTTTAAAAAATAAAATTAAAACAAATAATTTGATTTAATTTTATTTTCTGATTCTGAAGCTTGAATTCAGAATCAAAAAACTTTGTGATATTTATTAAAGTCTGTGAGAGCAACAAAACAACTCTGGGAATAGGTAAAATCTTCAGTACAAATTTTGATTATGTTCATAAAGAGTCTTAGTAATGAATATAAAACATGTGAAGAAATGTGACCTGATTTAAAACAAGTCTGACCTGTAGCCCTGTGTTATAGTATATTTATAATCACTTAGGCTCAGTTCCAAAATAGACATTACCAACACTTGGATGTGCTGTTATTATTCACTGTTATCTCAATCCTCATGCCAGTCACACATGAAGTGAAAGTGTTCCATCATTATTTGGAATCTCATATACTGCACTAAACAGATTGGGCACTGAATCCATTTGGCACCATTCTTTGTGCTGTTCAATCTACAAAATACAATCCACCCCACATACCACAAGTTTCATCATCTTTTTATATATATATATATATATTTTTATTTTTTATTGATGGCGTAGGTTGTTTAACAGGCCCAGTTCGATAAAAATATTTTTGCAGAAGGATTTCTCTGAGTACTTTTCACAGTGTTTAGCTCACAGGCAACCTTAGCACATCTGCAGTCGTTACTTTGGAGTTTCATTCAGCACTTGTGGCTTCATGCTCATTGTCATATGGATTATTCCCCTCCGTGACAAGAGAAGGACCATTTGCATAATCAGAAATTGCAACCTCTTTAAAATGGAAGAGGCCGGTTTTTGCAAAATTGTGACACACTTTTGTTTATTGATACACAACATGATAAGCAACAGCCAACAACAACAACAACAACCTGTTGAAGACATACTTCTTATGTTTCCCACAAGCATTTTAATTCATGAACTTCACCGTGATTCTCCATCCTTCAATGGCTTGTAAACACCAGAGACTCCAGAAGATGAGTAGAATAGGCCGGAAAGGTCACAAGATGAATTGCATTGTCTTTTGCCAGTGAGAAGAGTTTTGGGTGCATAACACTGGCATGCAAGTGCATGAAAATTATTACAGGCCTGTGAAGGGGAATGCACTTCATGAAGTGCTGAAACCGCTGTACAAATAGGTTATTCTTGATCTAGCCGTTTAGTGATTGGCTTATCAGTAAAGGCATTGGACCCTCAGCCAATTGATAATTTATTCTTGTAACCTTCAATATGACTGTAAGTGGGGTGCTCATTCCTGGTGCATGAATGCAACACAGCTGATTAGTGACGATGCCCTTCTCTTCAAAACTTTGATTATAAACATATTTTCTCCATACTTGGCTGACAGTTTTCCAGTTTTCTTGACATATGACAGTTCCAAAGATGTGATTGTTAGCCTCTTAAATCAAAATCTGTTGCCAGCTTCTGGATTTTGTTATAAAAATCATTTAGCTAACCTCAAAGCTTGATAGATGGCTAAATTTTCTGGAGTCTTCAGTGACAGATTCTATAATTCTCTCATCCTGTCCCACCAATACCAACCAGCCATTTGACTTTTATGTTTATCCTTGCATATTCATAAACTTCATAGACTACCCATCTTATTTTATCAACTGTTAGACCAAAGCCTACATCATGCATGCTTATAATGCAGTTACCTATTTTCACTTCAAGGTAGGGAGACATAACAAATTTTTCCAGTCTTTGTCAGATGAATACTTGCAGGATCATCCAGATGCATTTTTGTGTCATCTTTCAGAGTGTGCCATGGTATATCATACAATTGACTTTGTAAAGTGACCAACCTTAATTTTCTATCAGTCGTAACACTTCTTTGTACCTTCAGGAGTGTGTGTTCTCTTATGTGCCATAGTCTTTGGCACCATTTCTGAAAACAAGCATCAGAACCTTGAAAAGATGAAGAAGCTGCTTCCAAATCGAAAATTTGTTTGGTGAAAACTATTGATTTTATTTGCATACTCCTCTGAAACACCTTCAGCTAACACAAAGAAAGGTAATCCATATCACACAAGATCTCAAATGAAACAAATTGTAACTCAACTTTAAATATGCCCATTAAGGCTGCAGTCTACCAGTACAATAGCAGAACATTGACTGTAGAAATTAATGTGTTTCTGCAGAAAACTCTCTGCACAATCTTTGTCATAATGAGTGTTTCTGCCATCTAGTGAGAGAAGAGAGAAAAACTATCACAAATTTACCTTGCATTAAGTATCAGCCATCGACCTGATAAGGATGATGTTGATTTCAAAAGAAGAATTGGATGTACCAAACAGCACAATATCCCAAACAAAATTTGGTGAAAGGTCTCTGAATTTTTGTGAATTTCACCTGAAAGGATTTACAAATAAAACTGAAACCATACAAGCTTGGATACAAGAGTTTCCATTTCTCATTGGCCATCTTATTAATGCATATTGTACCATTTACTACCTGTTTTATATGAGTGTGTAAGTGTAAAGACAAGTAGTGACTAACCAGACCAAGCACAGGGGCAAAGGCATCAGCAGAAGTCAACTTGGACAAGACAAAAACACCAGACATGAAGAAGGGGCAAATGCTCTAAGCATCATTCCACAAGTAAAGATGGAACAGAACCTGCCTTTTGCAGGCTATTGCTTGCCTGCGCCCTCCACAACAACACTGTGATGAAACATCGCTGTGCGAAAAAAAAGGGAGACTCCTAAGACACACTAAGATTGAATATTACTTTAGTGATGAAATCATTACCTGATGTGTTTGTACTTTAGATTTGAGCAGTTACTGAAGGTAATTGAGATGTAGTAGACTAATTCAGTTGTGATTTTGTTTTGGTTCAGTTTCTTATTTCTTATGCCATGTGATCAAAAAATCATGCAACAGTACCCAGTGAGGTCACATCATGGTATAACCTGCTCATGGCAGTCGGTCTGTTGTCTTTCAACAGCATAAGTGCAAGGCCGTCTTTTTATAAGTGGAATGAGTGTTTATTGTTGAACACTAACTGGCATCTCGCTTGTACTTAACTTGCCAGAATGATACATTTTCCCCTTTGTGAAACAAATTGAGAATATCTTCCGGTGAACAGTCTCCGTGACTGAGGAGCTCTTCACCGGCTTAAGTCAGATACGAGGTAAAGAATGAATGCATGGATTGCTGATCACAGTGGACTTTTCCAACACTTAATATAATTGTTCTTTGTTTTCTGATTCCAGTATAATTTATTTTTTGACAAGTATAACGTGTGTTGCTTGACTTTTTGATCATCCTGTGTGTGTTAATTGTATTTGTCATTTGGCCAAACTGTTCATTCAGTGTCATTTAGAGAAAGTATGTTTCTGTAGGAAGCTCTTCATGACAAAGTGTGTTCACATAAGTGAGAATGTTGAATAGGAATTGTCAAGACAAACTATATTTTGGGCATAATTAGATTTTGGGAAATATGTTAACATTAACTTTATTCAAATCTTAAATTGATTTACATTTCCCTACTAAAACCCAGAAGAATGATTGTGAATGAGTGTGTACATGGCCTCTGGCATGGAGTAAAATCCTGTAAGCCATTAAGTTGTTATACGGCCTCTGGTGTGGTGTAAATACCCGTAAGCCAACAAGAGATGAGTATGACATTGTACTTGGTGAAAAGAAATGGAAAAACATAAAGGACTGAGATGTGTCAACTTACACCACGGTGTTGTTTCTTGGATGTGTGGAGGAGTGTGTGATGAAAACGAAATTGGAGTATCTTATTTTGTAGGAATAAGACATTTTTTTGTGAGTTTGTATGGTGTTCTTCCAATATTGTTAAGCTATTAGGAGCTTGGGGGAAAGCACATTCCTGTTAGTCATGTGTTAGGCACTGTCTTTTGTACAGGAGCAAGTAATATATTTTGCCCCATGGAGTCACGTTTATTTCAGAACAGGCTGTAAAAACCACACTATGCATTACAGTAGTAGTGCTTACATGATGTCCTGGGTTCAGCATTCTCACACACTGACCAAACTGTTGTCACCTTTGACAGTCTTGCATGACGTTTACTCTGAATTCTTTGTCAGAAGACTCCATGTTTGATGTGATGTGGGAACTGTAGTTGCAGCAGAAATCCCATCATCACACTTTTTGCTGAGAGCACCATTTCAGTGGCTCTTATGCCTGGTAAAGAACTTCCTCTTGGATGACTGGCAAATTAAGATGTTACTCATTTTGTTTGATTGGCTAGTCCTCCGAAGAGGAGCATTTATTTAAAACTGTAAAGTACAAGATAGATCCATTTTTATGAATTTTAGGAACATTTTAATTTGGTCCTACACTTGGGATATCAATTGATAGTACAAAACAGGCATAAGCAGTGCACTTGGGAGATGAGTAACTGATTGTTTGCGAAAAGAGGCTGAAGGAAATGTCGATCAGTATGTTCAGTCCGGAGAGTGGACAGGTTGAAACCATCAGTAACCATAAACTGTAAGTGATTGTAAACATTTTTATTGTTCAATAAACCTGTTTGTATGTATGGGCATGTACACTTACTACGATCCTTATCATCACAGCTCCTAAGATACATAGTTTACCCAGTTTCTTAATTAGACATTTCAAGCAAAGACGTTGATTATGTTGATAGAAAGATTGTCTTACATAGGTTATATACTGTATGTAGAGGTTCTTTTAGAACTCAGATAAGTTCTCCCTTTGATATTTTTGCTTGGTAATCAGAACACCAGAAATAAAGAGAGAAAATTATCTGTCCATGAGGCGTGTATGAAAATATGAGGTTCATATAGCTATTTTGTAGTTTCAGAGATAAAGTGTTTGTGATTCTAGTTCACTACACTAATGTTGGAAGCAGAACTGGTACATTGATCAAATTCATACAAACTAAGATATCTTTAAAACACAAGAAGTTAGAATTATGTTCATAAGAACATAGCACATACCAATGGTAAATTTGCTGAATTTTATGATGAACATTAAAATTTCTCATGACCATCACACTGAGAAGTTTCCGGAAGTGCATGTATACCGTGTGTTATAACTCATCCCTAAGTGGTTGTACAGTTGTCTTTATGCTCTGAGCAGGAAAGATCTATGAGACCAGATGAATAAAAAATTAGTTTGATCCACAACCACTGCTGACAAGTTGCTGAGGTGAGGCGTCCCCCAGGTTAAAGCACAGCATTATAAGTTAGAGCCATGATGGTTGTATTCAGTCTCTGAGCCAAAGCACAATATGTCATACCTTCTGTGGTTTAAAATTATAAATGGATTGCATTGTGAGTCACACATTGGTATGTGCTTTTTAGAATGAAGAGAGACATTATTCTCTCCAAGAGAATATGACTTAAGTAATTAAAATACTTAGAATTTTTGGAAAATAATGTGTTATGGAAACTTTGTTAGCAGGTATGGGATCATTACCGCCTTCATAACAAGTATGTTATCCCCAGTAGAACTGCTTATCCACCTAATATGGAGGTGAAGTAAAGATAGCATAGTGCTATTTTTTGCATGGGGTTAGCTTCAACAAGTCCAGGACCATCATATTCCCGGACCTGCCCCTAACATTAAGTCCATAGTAAGTTCTTAACGCGCTGGCTTCAATATTTAGGTGCTGCCAATTTGTCTACTATTTTGGCACCTTGTAGCTGTATAGGCTGATACCCTGGCGCTACTGTGCTCATGTGTTACTCAATCCAGACACATTTATTCTGAATAGCAAAAAAATTTAAATCAGATACCCTGTTTACTTGTAGTAGATATGCTTTAACTAAACCTCAGAGTGCATACAGAATGATCATTATGAAACAGTGATTAGCACTGTAACTAGTCTTATTTAGAAGGGGGGCAGAATGGTATCTGGAAATCCAACTATTAAAGGGGCATGGCTTACCATAAAGCCAAATACAACTGATATATAGGTATTTCTTTCTATTAGAGAAACAAAAGTATAGTGTTTATGAACCAGTTGTAGAAATATCCATTTTCTTAAGGTTCAGTGAGAATATTCATTCAGTAGCTGTGTACCAGAACATTTGTCTCTGCCATCCATCTAGTTCAGTGTGTGTGTCTTATCAGCCCAGGCTATTGTCTACAGACTGGATGGCTAGGATTTGATTCCCATAGGGGACAAAGAATTTTTCTTCTAGCCTCTGCATCTAGACTGTGAAGCTGACCCAGCTCCAATCCAGTGGAGACTAGTGGCTCATTTTCCCCAGGTTAAAGCGCTGACCACTTATCCTTGCCTAGTGCTGAAGTGGGGATTATACCTTCTCTTTTCAAGCACTGCCATGGCAGTATCATTTTCAAGGCAATCATCATGTACAGAAATTTGGTACATGACAAAATTATATTAAATTATGTAAGGTATTTTGCTGGATGGTTATTTAAAAGTAATAGCTACGGATTGTTTCTTTAGGTGTAAATGAGGTGTTTTGAGTTTACTGCACAGTAATGAGGAAACTATGCCTTCCCTAGGCAGTTACCACATATTACTATAGGCTACACCATAGTTCAAATTTCAAGTGTTACATTCCTTATGGCCTGAAACTGTTTCATAGTCAGGGAGGAAATATGTAATATTTGTCAAGAGTATTTGCAGCAATGATTTAGTAATGCAGATAAACATGATTGTTTGTGGTAATTATATTGAAGTGATGTAATTCTCATATGTTGAGGAAAGTGTCACCAACAACAGTAATCCTAACAGTTTTCAATAACATTCAGTTTTGACATTCTTTATTGTGCGTATTTCTAAGCCACTGCCCCTGTCAACTTCGGAAAGGAACATTAAATGTGACTAACAAAATCATTTTCCCTATTTCCTTCCACTGCTCTAGTAACTGGTTATTTTGTAGTATATCCAAGAAAGGACCTGCTCCCCAGACAATATTCATTCCTGTTATGGACTGTCATAATTCTATTACAATTAAATCATTTACTGGTCCATCACCCAGAGCACCCACTTGCGTCTGAAGATGCGTGTAGCTTTGTGCCCTCTGCCTGTTGTATCACACAGATGTGCAGGAAGCAATTGTTATTCTTTAACCCTCTGTTGTGAGCATATCATTTGAGACAGCCGTAGAAAGCTGTTATTGGAGTACAATTTCTTCTCTCTATAAATGTTCCTATACTGCACTTAGAAAGTTGTCAGAATTCAGATTGGTCATAAGCAATTTAAGGAATATGTAGGTAAGGTGATTAGTTGGGTTTATACTCTGGCCTTCACCCTGTGCCACCAGGTTTGTCTCATCAGTGTGGTGAAGAGAGAAATTCAAAATGATGACAAGAATTTAGATGAAGACACATATAACAATGAAATAAAATACATATTGTTAAGAATAGTTTACTTTACCGTTTGGAGCCATTTCTCAACCTGTCGTTCCACATGACCATATCTCCTTGGAAGGAATGTTGCATCTATTTACATTTTCTTCTGTTTTTAGATCCATATTTTGAACATTATTTTGATTTCATTAATGTGTGTATGCAGAAAAACTCCTACCAGTTAGCAAGGAAATAGGCCTAGAAGTAAATGTAGACAAAACTAAATATGTGGGCGTAATAGATCAACATCAGCAGCAAGGGCTGAACAATTAAAAGTGACATATTTGAAAATGTTTCAAAATTTAAGTATCTGGGAACAACAATAACAAATAGAAATGAGGTCCATGATGAAATTAAGCGGAGAATACATTCAGGAAATGCTTTTGTTGTGTTCAAAAACTATCATTATGTTTGCTATCCAAAACACTAAAGATCGGGCTATATAAAACAATAAATTTCCCCATTGTCTTGTATGGTTGTGAGACATGGTCTCTAGCCTTGAAGGAAGAAAGTAGATTACAACTGTTTGAAAACAGGCTGTTCAGGAAGATGTTTTGAGCTAGAAAGGATGAAATAAGTGGGGAATTTAGAATATTACATAATGAGGAGATGCATGAATTGTACAGGTCACCTAGCACATGGAGGATGGATTCAAGAAGTGCATACACAGTTTTGGCAGGAAATCCTTCTGGATAATGACCACTGGCAGACGAAGAAGGAGATGGGAGGACACTATTAAGATGGGTCTTAGGGAGGTGGGCTGTCAAGATGGAAAATGGATGAAGTTGGTCCAGGATTGTGTGTGTGGTGACAGGCTTTCGTGTTTCGGTTTTGGACCTGAGTTCTACTACCAGGGAGTTAGGTTACTGGAAAATGTGAACGCATTGTACAGCCATGGCTTCCACTGCGTGGACATGATCATGAAATATTCCCTCTGAATTGCAAGTTTATAAGCCTTCTGTATTAGAAAATAATTTATGACAAGGAAAAGGTATTTTTGTTGACTTGAAGTTCTGTGACTCTTGTCAGAAATTTAGCCATCCTGTCACTTGTTTGGCATAGTTTTACAATACTTGGGGCTTCAGAGCATTCCATGATTCATGTAAAGAATTCCCATCAGCCGTAGATGTGTGTGATATGCCTGTGTCTCTTGTCTTTCCAGCATAATGCTGCATATTGCTATGATCTCTTCCTCCTCTGCTTTGCTGTGTAAGTCCTCATGTCATATGTATTCCTTGATGAGTAGCTGAATTCGTACATTAACTTGTGTTTCTCTGATGCATTGAAAAAATGTAGGTACAGACACAAATGATCCTAATTCTGCTCTACACCGATTGTGGCTGGACCAAGGGGCAGTTGAGTTATCAGCAAAATGCTAATTGAGAAAAAGTAGGTTTTCAATAATTAATTTACACAAGAAAGATGTCCATTTTTTGTTCTTTATTGAAATCCTATTCTTGTGTCCCATTTAGAGAATCAGCATATTAGAAAATTTTCTCTCATCACCTGTATTACCCTGCAATGCCAGGCTGCTAGTTGCTTGTAGGATGTTATAATGATGGTAGTACAGATGTGAATCTTCCACCAAATTGTGACCACAAACTTTGTGAGAAAGAGTTTGGAAAATTCTGTGGGAGAAGAATCTTTTGTGATGTTTGGTGCTGCATTATGATCCAACCCAACACTGGATCTTATAATTCCTTGTATTGTACCTGTCTCATACTAATACTTTTACTCTCCACATACCATCCTCTGCAGCTGTTTCAATTAACTTTCTCTTGATATGGAGAAAATGTGTGTTCTAAACAGTTGGCTCCTCATCTACAAGTTACTATCCTGAATTCTGGTATAGATTCTGTCCTCATACATTTTCTTCATTCAAATGGGGACATTTCAAGTGCCCTGCTATTTATTTATTTATTGATAATAAACTCTGTTATGTAAATGATAAAAGTATCGCATATGCACAGGGGATATCTGACAATGACAGTAGACCACACCAGTGCTAATTTTACCATGAAATGCACCACTAAATCGGAGCAGGTGTATATTAGGATGAAAGTAAATCACATGACCACTTCTAGAGTTTGTT